AGCTGAGGGAGGAGTGGATACCAGGGGCTGGGAAGTGTAGAGGTGAGTGGGTGGGTGGGTGGAGTGGGAAGAGGCAGGCTTCAGAGCAGTTGGTTACCGGGTATAAAATGACAGGAGGAGCAGGTTCAGTGTGCTATAGCATAACAGAGTGACTAGAATTAACAAAACTTTATTGTTCATTTCAAAGGCCAGCAGAGGACATTGAATGTTCCCGACACAAAGACACGATGAAAGTGCTCATTACCCTGACTCGATCACGTCACACTGCTCCTATGGATGGAAATATCACTAACTAGGCCAGCGCCGCAACTCACTAGGCTAATCCTCCACCTTGTGGCGCCGGCACACTGGGTTCTAATCCTGGACTCTGTCCTGGTTGCCCCTCTTCCAGGCCAGCTCTCTGCTGTGGCCAGGGAGTGCAGTGGAGGATGGCCCACGTGCTTGGGCCCTGCACCCCATGGGAGACCAGGAAAAGCACCTGGCTCCTGCCATCGGATCAGCGCGGTGCGCCGGCCGCAGCACACCGGCCACGGTGGCCATTGGAGGGTGAACCAATGGCAAAGGAAGACCTTTCTCTCTGTCTCTCTCTCTCTCACTGTCCACTCTGCCTGTCAAAAAAAAAAAAAAAAAGGAAAGAAAAGAAAAGAAATATCACTAACTAATCAACACATACATGTACAGGTGTCTATCAATAACAACTCTGCTTTTAGTTCTAACAGGGCCCCATGTAGTACATTCCCCACCATGCTCAGCTGCTGGAGAGACAGCCCAAAGAGTCCCTGCTACTGGGATGGCTTTCACCCTGCAGCAGTGTGCTTGTCAATCACCATCTCCTCTCCTGCCCTGGACAACCCAGGAGTCCTCTTCCTGGGGCCAATGCTGTTTCTTCCCCAACGCCATCACCACCACAGACACCCCACCGAAGAATCCCCAGTCCAAACTAGAGAATTCCCAAAGTCCATCAGAAACCCTGAAACAAACACCTTCCAGGAAGCCTGGAGACAAGAAAAAGAGAACACTTAACGAACATTAAGGAGCCTGCGCTGGGCCAGCACTGTGATGAAGCGGTCTAAGCTGCTGCCTGCCCATCGAAGTGCGGGTTCGAGTCCCAGCTGCTTACTTCCAATCCAGCTCCCTACAGTCTGCTGGGGAAGCAAAAGATGGCCCCAGCACTTGGGACCCACACACAGATTGAGATCCAGGCTCCTGCTTTCAGCCTGGGCCAGCTTTAGTTGTTGTAGTCCTTTGGGGAGTGAACCAGCAAATGGAAGACCTCTCTTTCTCTCTCTCCCCTCTCTCTGTAACTATCTTTCAAATAAAATAAGCCTTTAAAAAAAGTAAAAGGGCCCTGCCAAGAACACAGATATTACAGGATCCTCCCATCTGTCACCTTGTCCCTTTTAGTCCCAGGTTCCTCGTTTGCCAAGTAGGGACAACAAGACGTTCTTCCCAAGACGTACAACCCAGACCCTGAATGGGAAAGCTATTCCTGGGTTCTGAAAGGCAGGAGAAGGACAGCCCAATGTGAAGCTAGCTAATAGTGCTATCGCTGCCTCTGCACTCACTGTAACATTTGCCTGCCTCCACAGCTGTACCTAGAAAAACAAATACCAATCACCTTACCTGCCTCTGGACCTGGGTTACTGCTAACACCTTCCTATAATTTCTGGTATCACCCGAGTATTTCTTTTATCATTGTACTCATGGACTTACTGAGTAACACACCCAGAATATGCTAGGTGCATGGATACCAAGGGGAAACACACACACACACACACACACACACACACACACATTCAAGACAAGTGACAGAGCATAGCATATAAAAACACTCCTAGCACTTCATCTAACAAATCCCATTCAAAGACAGCATGGAGCTCAGCAGACAAAGCCGAGAATGGACACGACGGCTCCACGTGCAAGAGGGCAAGAGATCTGGGAGGGAAAGCAGAGACTGAAGCTGAACATTTTAAAGACCGTCCGGAAATTCGCCCAGGAGACAAAAAGAAGAGAGGCCTCATAAACAGAAGCACCTGTGTGCACAAAAACAAACTTGGAGGAAGCGTCACGTGCGTGCCGGGCTTCTGAGAAAAGACAAGAGGTGTGGCTTCAGGAACAGACCAACTCTGTGAGGGGGCAGAAAGGGGAAACAGCTGGGGCGGACCACACGGACCGCGTGTCTCATGGCAGGGCGCCTGGGTTTTACCCCATGCACGAACTGAAATGGAAAGAAGCATTTTGAGAACCGGGGCAAACACTGTCAGATTTTAGGAAGATTACCCACGCAGCCTCTTTGCTGTTTGAGGGCTGGCTGACTCTCTCACAGTCCCTCTCTCCCTCTCTCCAAGCACACGTGCACACACACCCCGCGGCGGAAGGAGATGGATGCCCGCTCCCTGCGAAAGCAGGGTGAGAAAAGAAGGTTGGCAAAGGAGCACGGGGAGGTGAAGGCAAATGACAAAGAAGAGAGGGCAGCCCTGAAACAGTCCATTTCGGGCAGGACCTGTGAGCACTGGAGATTTATCAGCCCCTAAGCCTGATCCCGTGGCCACACCACAGCATCCAGACACGGCCTTGCCCTGCAAGGATTTTAAAAATGGTACTCAGGATCACTGTGGAAGAGCCTTCTGAAAATAGCCTTGAATCAAGCTACCTCTCAGCCCATTTCTTTTCCTTCTTTTAAAGATAAACCACCCGTTGGCTGTGCCAGTGAGAGTAGGGACAGAAACCAGTATGTGAAGCTTTGAACAGTGCGTGCACGTACCCATCTGACATCACCAAATGTTTCTAGGGAAAACCGCAAGTTTCTGGGCCTCCAGTGCTCTGCCAATTTCCTTAGGGAAAAGCAAAGTATGATAGGGGAATAGATTGTATTAAATTTTAAAACCTGAATCCTGTACAGTTGATATTTGCAGATAAGCTACTTCTTACCGTAAACTGTAGCATTCTTGTAGATTCTTGATGACAGAATCTATTACTCTGCTGGTGCTCATGACAGATCACTGTCATTGGAAGTGACTTTCAGGGTCTTTTTCCTTATACACATCATTAGCGTTGCACCCTCCTCTCCCGCCCCCAAAAATAAAATAAAATTTCTCCTCCTTAAAAACAAATTAACAGAGGTTGGTGATGCGGCATAGTGGGTAAACCACTGCCTGTAGTGCTGGCATCCCATTTGGGCACCGGTTCGACTTCTGGCTGCTCCACTTCCAATCCAGCTCTCTGCTATGGTCTGGGAAAGCAGTAGAAGTTGCTTTCTCCCTCCATTGGCGTGGGAGACCTGGAAGAAGCTCCTGGCTCCGGTTCAGCACAGCTCCGGCCCTTGCAGCCAGGATGGAAGACCTGTCCCTTTATCTCTTCCTCCCCTCTATCTGTAATTGTACTTCTCAAATAAATAAAAAATAAAATGCTTGGGCCCCTGCCACCAACACAGGAGACTCTGAATGAGTTCCTGGCTCCTGGCTTCAGCTTGGCCCAGTCAGGCTGTTGTGGACATGCAAGGAGTAAACCTCTCCACCCTTCCCGTCCCATAACTCTGCCTTTCAAATAAAAAAAATCTTAAAAATAAATCCAAAAAAATAAATCCGCTGTATCCCTGTATTAGCTTGGTTAGAACTGGAGAATCTTTCAAACACAAAAGGGTCTGGAACTAGAAGTGACCACAATGGGGCTCCAATTTTCATATTTCTATTCCTGGGGTCGAGCACAGGCCTTAGCCTACTGCTGGAAGACAAGAAAAGTTTGCTTACAGGTTAGACAATGAAAGAAAATGCATAAATTGCTTATTAATTTAGCAATGTAATTTAAAAACTTTGAATTTTAAAAATCAAGGTATAATTTGTTGTGATAGATTCCATTTTTCCAAATGTATGGTTTGATGCATTTTGATAAAGGTATATGGTCACGTAACCAGCACTACCACAATCAACCTTAATTCTCTCATGCCCCTTTGTAGTGAAATTCCCTTCGAAGAATCCTAGTCCAGAGATCATATAAATCCTGCCTTTTCTAGAATGGAATGTGAATGGAATCACAGAACTTTTTGAGGATCTGGCATCTTTCAAACTTGGAATAATGATTTTGAGATCCATGTAATGATTTTGAGATCTGTCCATGTTTTTGTATGTGTCAGTGGCTCTTTTATTTTATTCTTTTTTTTTTTTTTACAGCTGAAGAGCATTTAATTGTAGATATACCAAGATTTGGTATTTTCCCATTCTCCAACTGACAGATATGTGGATCATTTGCAAACTTTGACTTTTACAACTAAAGCTGCTGAGAACATTCACACATAGATCTTCATGTTGGCCCATGTTTTGTTTCTTCTGGGTAGATACCTACAAGTAGGTTTGCCAGGTCATATGCTAAATGTGTGAATAACTTCATAAAGAATGATCAAATTGTTTTCCAAGGTGGCTGTGTCCTCTTACATCCCTACCAGTAATGCATAAGTATTCCAGTTGCTTCATTATCATTGCCAACACTTGATATTATCATACTCACAGGGCGTAGTCTATCTCCTTTGGGCTTGTCCAACACCTTTTTGACTAATATTCATAAAAGTAACCTTGTCAACTGAGGCTGACAGATTGCATTTTCCTTCATTCTTCATGGAAAATTCCAAAAGTGATTCATGCTTCTTTGACTCCTTAAGGTTTTTAACAGTTCACCATTTTCCTGCTAACCTAAGACTTTTTATTCAAAAAATCTGATTTGTGCTGCAATGACAGAGCATACTACCCGTGACTATTGGCAGTTGTCTCTGGGCTTACCTAAAATGGCCCACCCATAAGTCACAGTACCTGGCTGTAGGACCAGCTGGCCCAGCCTCTGTGAGGTTCCCAGTTCAGGCCTGAAAGCCTCTCTAAGAACAAGGCCCACCGTTTCCTGTGAAGGACCTGGTGACATGTTTTCTGGCTTATTTCTAGGTCACAGTTCTGCTTGAAAGCCAGGTAGTCAGTCAAGGTGACTGTAGAGTCTGAGGAGAACGTCTATCAGCATTTTCAGACATACCAGAATGTTCTTGGAGACCTAGCCAGCCAGCTCTGATGGATCCTTAGAGGCGCCAGCTTTTCCACTTGCACAGCTCAGCTACAAATGATACCAAGTCAGTATGGTCATGTTTAAGGCCAGCAAGTTGGGGCAGGAGTATGTCAGCGATCCAAAACAGTGCCCGAAAACGAGTTCCCAGCTTGTTCATTTCAACAGCACAACTCCCCTGGGTGCAGAGCCTCTCACTGAGACCATCGCCAAGATGAAACCAGGAGGCCTCCTCTCCCGCATGTGGGAGCCCCACCCCTCCCCACAGGGCCAGCATCTCACCCCTCCAAGCCAGAGTCCTCCTCTATAGCATGAGGGTCCTACAGGACACACTGCCCAGCTCGGAGCCCTTGTGCCATTCAAACACGAAAGAGGACCCAAGAATGTTCCACACAGAGGGGCATCGCTCCAGGAGAACACAGGACAGCTCACAGGAAAGCCTGACTTCCAAGGAGCTCCCAACAATCTCATGTCAAGGCAGAAAGTTCCTGTGAAGACAGACAGACATGAATACCCCTCCGAGCCCAGAGGACAAGAGCCTCACAGTGCGAACAGAGCGACAGTGCCTGCTACCTAGACCACGGAAGGCATAGGAAGGCGAATAGGGAATAGGTTTTATGCATGGAGAACTCCAAGGACCTAACCAGCAAAGATGAGGAAGGGACATAAAGGCCAAAATGATAAAGGAAGAGTAATGCTGGACACAGGAACACCCGCTCTTACAGCTCAGTCCTGAGCATCTTATCTGGGCAGATACATATCCTATGCCATAGTTCTTTCTGGAGTCTGGGGAAGGCAAGACTTTGAATGAAACTTCAGTTCCCTTATTACTACTTAACACTCCCTATCCCTCAAAGCCCACATCCACCACATACCTTCCTTACCACCTGAGTGTATCCTTTGTGACAGCATCTCTTTTCACAGATCATTATCCAGGCCCGAGTTCCACCATGCAGGAAGGCGGAAGACCATCCTCCCAAAGGCAATGTCTGAACACAGGACTCACTTCTACAAGAAGCTTCAACATCTACCATGCAAGCAACTGAGCTTCTGCAGCCAGAGAAGATTCCCAGACGCTCCCCAGAGGGAGACCATCACCGTGCCCTTGGGATCAACATCGTGTCTGCGAGCAGAAGCCAAAACATTAGGAAATGGACAGCGAGCCCCAGCTCTGGGTCTTCGACGTCTCTATGCCACACTGGCGAGAGCATAAGTGGGGAGAAGCTGTTTCTACAAGGGGTGAGGATAAAGCTATTTAATATCTCAATCTCAACCACAGACCTAACTATATGAGATTCTGCTAAATGGATCTATTTTTCAGTAACTATTATGGTAATGGAAGATAGATATGAGAAGACTTCAAGAAGTGGAATTTTGAGAATGTCTATTTTGATGTAAAGTAATTGTGAAAGCCATGCAGTTTTTTTATAACATTTTCCATGAATTGTTTGAAAACTTTTATTCATCATGTAGCTCCCCACCCCAAAGTTGTTTATCCTTAGTCAACAAAAAACTATTCTATTACATATGCTAACCCTTCTACTCTTTCTAGCTTCATTTTAAGCCCTTATTTCAGTAAGAAAACAGGTGACCTGTATCGCTGCTGCATGTAAAATTCCATCTTCTCTATGAAAGCAGTAACATTTCTATCTAGTCATGATATTGATAAAAAAGAAAGCTGGGCCTCACCACAGCATGTTACATGTTAGTAATACCCCCTCAGGAAACCATACATTTAAATTATTAATTCTATTAATTTCTATTGAATGCTTACTATGGCAATTTTTAATCAAGAGCCAAGCCCACTGCCTGGCACAAACCACCCTGAAGTATCGTCGGTACTAGAATAGCCCCATTTACAGGTGAGGAAGCTAAGGCTCAGAGATTTTAAGTACCCTGTCCAAGGTCACAAAGACAATGAAAGAGCTAAGATTTGATTCTGGAATGGTCTGCCTCTGCCCAAGCTCATAAAGACTATGTTGTATCCATAGTCTTAACTTTTTGCTCTCTCCCATCTAATCCATAACACCTATCTTTCCCTTTTAAATTCATGCATTCATCCACTAATCTCTATTGAAGTCTACTATAATCCATGCTGGACAGGAGGCTATGTACACATTCCTGGCTTTTCCATTTCAGTCATTAGCATTAAATGTCCTCCCATCTCACACACCCAGGAATCAGCATCCGGGTACCAGCCTTGAATCCCTTATTCTGTAGGCTGAGGCAAGTCCTCAAACAACATTGGCTGAGACCAGAAAGACACACTTCTACGCTCCACTCCAAACCTTGGTGATAAGTCACTCTCGCTAGGAGTTTGCTGACTTTGTGCCTGTCTGACAGTCAGCTCTGTTCCTGAGCTTTCCATCAGCACCTTAGAGAAACCAGTTTTAATGGCTGGCTCTCCTTGTTCCCTGTTCTTGGGTCCGTCTTGGAATACACCTAACACCCAGTTCCTCTAGGGTGAGGGTCTGCCTTGCTTTTGTAGGTCCCCATCCATAGAAGATGCCCCTTATTAGAAGGAAAGCTCCACAAGGACAGAGACACGTGCCTATTTCTTTGTAGGACAACCTTTCAGTATGGCACCTGGCACACAGTAGGCCTTCAGCATTTGCCAGTGGAATAGACTGAAGTCCATCAGCTCAATCTCAGACTGGCTGATGGTCAAGCTGCTTCTCTCTAGACTTGTGGGTACGTCACACCATTTTTGCCCAGTCTTAAAACCATCTAATCAAAATTCTTGGGATATTCCACAAGCTCCGTGGTCCCTGCTGACAAATAACTACCAGAAGCCAGTGTGATGCAGGCATGTTCAGCTCCAGGCCTCTGGTATCACCTGCAAGGAGTTTGTTGGCACCCACCAGCTAATGGGAGGTTTCCAGCCCCTCCCAGCCTGCCTTGCTTGGCCATTCTGACTGACCTTTGTCTCGCTGTATCTAGAAGATATTTTCATGCAAGTATATTAAAATTATATAGAATTTACATAGTTTTAGGTTCAAAGATGTGATATCAAGAAACTGGGATGAATAAACTGCTATGTGACGTATGGTATATACTTAACATAACAAGCATTAATTCTGCCATGAAGATATCCTAAGTAATACTTAACGATATTAGAAAAAGTTATATTTTAAAAGTTAACAGACTACTTTTATTGATTCTAACACTGGGAAAAATGTATTTTTTAAAAAGACCATCAACAGTCTCTAGGTAGTTAAATTGAGGGCGATTAAGCTTCTTCATTTATATTTTTCTGCATATTTCAAGTTTTCCAGAATAAGTATATATTACTTTAATATTAGAAAAACTAGTACACAACATATTGTCAACATGTTCCTAAAGCAGATATGACTATGCCTGGCTTACCTCAAGTTTTTTGGCTATTAGGATCCCTGTCACTAGCCAATGGTTATCAGGAAGCCTAATTTAAAATTCAAAATGAACATAACTTTACTTTTAAGCTACTCTCATTTTATTTCAACTCAGTGACTAGGCCCACAGCTTAAAAGGGAGCCTGATCACATGGAACATGGCTCAAGTCTCCTGGAAGACCCTACACCATGCCTTGTTAATTCACTTATTTATGGGCTTTACTCATTTCTCCCACAAGGCTCTAGCTAGCTCCCTAAGGATATCCCTCGAGTGCCTAACACAACCCTGCACAAGACTGGAGGACCACAGATGCCTACTGAGGAGATTAATTCTTGGAGTGAGCCAAACTGGTTCCAAGGCAGTCAGCTTCTTCCAAAGTTATTCTGGAACAAATGGGCAACCCTATAGAATTGATCTCTTCTAAGGTCAAAAAGGTCATTCCCAAGGAGCAGGCATCTGACCTAATTGTTAAGACACACATCTGATATCAGAATGCCCAAGTTCAATGGCCATCTCTGGCTCCCAATTCTAGTCCCCCACTTGTGCAGAAAGAACGGGTGAGCACATTTATAGTGAAAGCAAACTATCCTCACTGGCAAATCCTGCCTCCACCAGGGGACCAAGGTGAATGTCAACAGGGTTGATGGTGCTGATGATACATACCCTCAACAGGATATAATGAAAATGGTGTTGTACCTGTGGTCTTCCTCCTCCCCCTCCAAGAAAAAGATAAAAACACACCAGTCTAATCATGAAAAAAATCTAATTATTGAGGAGCAGCCTATAAAATACCCAATAAGGATTCCTCAAAACTTTCATGGTTATCAAAAGCAAAGAAAGTCTGAGACATTATTGTTACCAAGAGGTGCCTAAGGAGACTTGAAAACTAAATGGAGTATGGTAGCTGGATGGTACCCAGTAAGAGAAAAAGGACAATAAAAAAATGGAATCCAAACCAAGTATCGTGCATCAAAGCAATACACACATCTAGGTTCACTGGTCAGCCCTTCATCTGTCAGGCTGTGGGTCACTGTCACTGAGGGAGAGAGAGGACTGAAAGATGTGGAACAGCCATCAAATGCCCCACTCCAGCACCTGGACTTACAACTCACTGGCTTTCAGTAGTCACATAGCCCCACAGACCCCCGGGAGATAAGGACATGTGATCCCACCATGTGCCTGGAATGCAGGGAGCACACCATGACTCGATGGACAGTGCTAATGACCATCCCAGCACCTGCTCTCAATCTGTTTCAAAGGGAACCTTGGTCTTCAAGATTCTCGGGAGTCAACTGATGCTGGTAGGCACGGTGCCTGAGCACGCAGCATGGTTTCTGTACAGAGGTTACTTGTACCACAGCTCATTTTTTTCCTTCTCCAAGTGTCCCCTAGGGTCACATACCAAAATCAGGGTTCTGGTGTTTCTCTAATCATTCTTTTACCTGAGGCCCAGGATACCATCACAACTGAGATTATTAAAGAGTTGTTTGGTGGTTTACCCAAAACGCACATGTCAATTTGATGCCTCACCCACTTGCTTCAACAGAAATAAAGGGCAGCCCCTTTTTCACACGACCCCCTCTCGACCAATTTATACAAACCAAGCCTTGAACACATCTGCTGGGAGCAGAAATCAGCATTTCCAAGTGAATGTGTTTCTTCCTTCCCTCCCTCCATTACTATATTCAGTTCATCTCTGTCTTTTCCTGGAACTATTTCCATTTTATTCCTCATCTTCTCCATGCCCTCCTCCAATAAAAACAAAAATAAAAGCTTTCCTTTTAGTCCAGATCTTGCCTCTGCTTGCAGTTCTCTTTGTAACTATAGTTTGCATTCACACATCTGGAAAGATATACACACACAATCCTCAATGGGCAGATCTGATTACCTCTTCCCCAAAGGACATGGCTCCATCTTGAGATCGTCAATTCCAGACTACCCCTTTACAGTACTCTCTATTTGAATAGCCATCAAAACATCTTTCTTCTTGACGCACAGGTTTATTGGGATAGCAGTAGGGAGCATGTGTGTTTGCACTCTCCTTTTTCCCTAATGCAGTTTTTAAATGGCAGAGACATATGGCCACTCGGATACTGAAAACATAAATCTCACACAGGAAAGCAATTACTGATGGCTTCATTTTAGCTAAGTGTTACATGATCAGGCCTCCCTAAGTATTTAGCACAGCTCAGTATCATGAAAGTCACATGCTGAGTTTTGGGAACTTTCTGTCCTAAAATATAGCCATGCCGAGATTAATCAGGGCTTTATTCAACTAAGTATATTTTTTCTTACGTTATCTCTTTTCACATCAACATTAAAATTCTTGTTTTTATTAACTGACTTCCTGTTTGAAACTAACCTCGTTTAATACATAAAGTTCGCTAAGATGACTTACGACTTTTTAGGTTGGCCAAAACTATGGATTTTAATTTCTAGACAAGGTTTAGCCTTCTGTATATTCACCACACAGTCGTTATAAGGTCCAAGCAATATGGGAGCTGTTGAGATGAATAACTCATTCGTACACATATCATGTATTTTGGCCCAGGCTCCAACACTATCAACACTTCCTAAATTGGTGTTCCCAATCCTTTTATTAGAGATAATGAATTCATCTCACGGCTGGGAGCAGATAGTGATTTCCATGGTCTCAACTGATAGGAATCAACCCCCTTAGGGCTGGGAATATGTCTTAATTGTATACTTGTTCTTGAACAAAACTACTGCTTCCATTTGATTTCTTCCCCCTTTCACTTACCCAAGTGATTTTCATTCCACCTCACTCATCAACTTGTCAATTGAGGAACAGGAGCTATTTCCTTTCTTTGTCTGGGATTCTGGCTGCAACCCAGGCAGCATTTTCCAAGTAATTAATGAGCCCTGCAATGTCCTGGCTTCTGACCACCAGCCTCTTCCTTTGTTATATGACATCTCGGCTGGAGGAGGACTGAATGCAAGAGCAGGCAGTAGGCTGCTACTTAACCAAGAGCCAGATGCTATTTTTAGGTTAAACAACTTAAGTTGGGCCCCACCCCCCCAACTTTTGCCACCTAACAAACTAGGTATTTGTAGGTAAGTCTTAGGCTCACAATGAAAGCCCCGGAAGCAAAAGTAGAAGCAGAAGTAGCCCAGAGTCATGGATTTCTAATTGGCAGTCAAGAGCTCGTATACAGCACACACTCTGGAAGGGAGGAACCCAGCCTTCACGCCTTCTGCCCCCAAGCTGCTTGCCCTGTACCAGCAGGAGAGAAAACACCAAGGAACCCAATTTTTGGTGAAGGGTGAGAAGAGGTAAAAAGGTAAAAGTAAACTTATTTTTTCCTTTATTCTTTAGGGGCCAAAAGAATAAAATATTGGGTGTTTCTTCAAGATGATCATTCACACATGCAAAAAACAAAATGCTTCTAGGGTTATCGAAGCATTTAACATTGCTCTAGGTGCGGGGGACAAAGTAGAAATGGAACCATTATTCTCAAGGGGCATCTAGTGGAAAAGGACAGGGAATGAGTGAATGAATGAATGAATCAATCAATCAATCGAAGATGGTAGCAAGCACAATGGGGGAAGAGGCAGCATGGCAAGGGGAACAGGAGAGGGGAGACCTGGTGGGCAAGGTGTCACCTAAGTGCTTGGGGAAGCACACACACTGATCACAGGTCTGGGAGCCTGCAGAGGTCAAGCACTGGGGGTATCTGGTGAAGACAGCTCCAGGCAGATGGGACAGACTGTGCCTGACAGGGTTCGTTGTTTGAGTTACTCCAAAAGCTTAACATTGCAAGAACTGAGTGACAGTAGGTACGTATGTTCCCCTCTAAGCTCCAAAACATCTATTTTATAATTTCTGAAGACAAGTAGTAGAAAGTGTTACATAACCTTCTACTCTGATAGAGATTAGACCCATAGTTACATATCCAACTGATCAGGAAATATTTATCAACTTTTATTTATCCACAGACACATTAAGTATGTCACCCATGCACCACCCTCTACTTATTCACTTATTGAACTTCTCATCTTTGCTAAGCTCTGTGCTAGTTACTAAGAATCCTGTGTGGAACCACGTGGAAGAATCCACGCCCTCGTAGAATTTACAGTCTGATGTGAGCACTTGTCAACCAATATGCAGCACTATGATTCGAGTTTAGCATCCTGAAGGAATATGCCATGGACTGTGGGAGTTCCTAACAGGGCTTAAGGAAAGCTTTTGTGAGAAAGTGGCATGGAGTTGAGACAAGAAACATTCCAGGAAGTTCGGAAAGTGCAATAGAACTGTGTTACAAGAAAGCAGCGTGTGTGGGTCCCACAGACATTAGCATCAAGACAAGCGTGCAGAAGCAGCCTCTGGTCAGACTGTGCCAGACCACGTAGGGCCAAGTCTTCTCTTGATCAAATCGGAAGCCATCTGAAAGGTTTGAGGCAGGAAAGCGACGTGACCAATAAACATTTTGACATCACCAGCTCCACCGTCTGAATGCAGAGCTGCAGGGATGACATCAGGGGACAACCCACACGAGAGGCACCCGTTACCTGGACAAGGACAGTGACAGAGACAAAAAGCAGAAGAAGGAACTCAAGAACCACTTGGGAAACAGCCAGCCAGGCTTAGTGATGGATTTAGATGCAGCAGATGATCATGTCATAAAGGACTCCTACTTCGTTTCTGGAGTCCTAAGAACACCTTTCATTCATTTCTTCATTTGCTGGAAAAAAGAGGACACGGCACCCTAGCTCAGGCACAAACATGCAGAGCAGGGCATCTCTGCTCTCTGCAACAGCCATTCTGCTGCTAAATGGTATCTGGATCCGGAGTAGGCAAGTCCTAAGTGCCTGCAGAGCTAACCCTTGGTGAGAAGTGTATCAAAAAAGCAAGTACAAGAAACTCAGGATAAATGAACTCCTGGTCCTAATGACTTCTGTTTCAGACCCTCTCTCTCATGGCACTTAGCTGGTCACACCTACCAAAAAAAAAAAAAAAAAATCAGCAAATTGGATGACTCATTAGGACTGACTTTTCAAGAGAGCAAGGTACCTAATTTAGCATACAATACCCAGCAGCCATCTGCAGATGGCAATTTGGGAGAACTTCAAGCGTGGTATTTAGGTTTGAGAGGGGAAGCTGGAAATCAGAGGACTGATCTCACAAACAAAAAGCTTTTATAATAGCCTGTCCCAGAGAAGGCAGTAATGAGAGGATGGGGAGGAAAGCCATCCTCCCAATACCAAGGAGACCGTAGGGAAGTGGCTCCTTCAAAAGGAGGTGAAAAGCTGGATTTTCTCGTCATCCAAGTGACTGCTCTTCTTGGCTGGAAATAGCCAGGAGAGTTTAACCACTCAACTAGGCCCTACGAACAGAGACATTTATCAGTGAGCGTGAAACCACACAGTGCTGGATGAATTCTTCTATGCTCTAAGAACCCCAGTGGACTTCGGTCATCACAAGATCGCCCACCTGTGTAACAGCAAGTAAAATCATCAACACAATGCCTCCCCTTGAGCACAGGTTAAAAAATATCCCAACAATAATAACCGCTTCCCACGCCTTTTATGCCGCATGCCTGTGCCGCTAAAGCAGAGTTCATTTATTCCCCAAGGTATGCAGTTCTATGCCAAGAAGCAGTAAGAAACCACAGAATTCTCTCTGAAGTCTATCCTCTGTAGGAAATACATTAACATGTTTTACACTGAAACAACAATGATTATTTCCTGGTATAGAAGTAAATTTGGATTGTAAGACAAAAACACAAGATTTCAAGTACATTTCATTTCTGTGAATGTACTGGCTCACTACCAGCCACCCCAACGAGGCCCCTAGGTAGCTCCAAGAGGATCAGGTAGCTCCCAACTGACCTGCCTGCTAGGTACAGTGGGCCCAGGGCCTAGGGCCACAGGGCGTTGTGAAGCCAATGAAAATGTCCGATGAATTTTAAAAATCCAAGAAAAAATTAACTTAGGTCAAAGAAAATATTTTTAAATGTAGTATAAGTATATTCATCTTATACAGAAGTCACAAAATCCAAATTTTAATGTAATTTTGCTCTGGAGGAAGAGAGCCATAAAAACAAATGTGTCCTCCCTTCCTATCCTCCCTCTCCCCCTTCCCCACCCTCATGAGTTGTGAGGAATATTCGGCTATGGAACACAGGTTTCATTAGAAAGTCCAAAGATTTACTCTAATTGCTCTTCTAATTATATTCTGATGCTTTGAGCTATTGACTTGTTCTTCTCCATTCATATAAAATATGTGGATGCATTATTTAGAGGAAAAAGTGCTGAGAGCCCATAAAATTTATAATATAGCCCTGATTAATTTCTCTCCTCTGCTGTGCTAGCAAACCTCAGAAGACAGGTAACACTGATATTTCCTAAGATACAGTGGTCCCAATACCACCCTGATTTGGTGAGACAAGGCAAATGTTTTAATTTGAAAAGCAAGGGCCAGGGCTGTGGCATAGTGGGTAAATCCACCGCCTGCAGGGCCAGCATCCCATATGGGCACCAGTGTAAGTCCTGGCTGCTCCACTTCCAATCTAGTTCTCTGCTACAGCCTGGGAAAGCAATGAAAGATGGCCCAAGTCCTTGGGCCCCTGCACCTGAGTGGGAGACCCAGATCAGCCCAGCTCCAGCCATTGTGTCCATTTAAGGAGTGAACCAGCAGATGGAAGACCTGTCTCTCTCTGCCTCTGCCTCTCTAAATACGCCTTTCAAATGAGTAAATCTTTAAAATATAGTGTGTTCTTTAATTTTTTAAAAGTGTAGCTGAAAGTAATAGGTTTCCAGTTTATAGTACCAATATTTCCCTTTTGAAAAAAAAGTAAAATCATGAAAAATATCAAGTAAAAATATTATTAGGTCCTAGAAAAACTGGCAGGAAAAAAAATGAGAATGGCTAAAGCTTGATAAATATTACGATTAGCTAGGGGCCGGTGCTGTAGTACAGAGGGTTAACACCCTGGTCTGAAGTGCCAACATTCCATATGGGTGCCAGTTCAAGACCCAGCTGCTCCACTTCTGATCCAGCGCTCCGCTATGGCCTGGGAAAGTAGTGGAAGATATCCCAAAGCCTTGGGCTCCTGCACACATGTGGGAGACCTGGAGGAAGCTCCTGGCTCCTGATCGACTCAGCTCTGGCCGTTGCGGCCAACTGGAGAGTGAACCATTGGATGGAAGACCTCTCCCTCTCTCTCTCTCTCTCTCTCTCTCTCTCTCTGCCTTTCCTCTTTCCATGTAACTCTTTCAAATAAATATATAAAATCTTTAAAAAATGAGTTAAAACGCCCAAAAAAGCTTCCATATAATTCTTATTACTTTCATTTTGAAGGATGATGGTAAAATATTGCTAGTATCTCCATCGTAAGTCTACTGGGAAAAAATAGTTTTTTGGATAATGTTCTGATTCCTTCACTATTTTAAGCCATATGTCATGATTTTCATGATTATTTTTCAGAATTAGTGGTTTATTCTGTTAAGGGAGTAAGCTATTCGTTGCTTGGGACAAGACATCTCCTTTCATTAGCCCATGAGATGGTCTCAGAATAACTCTTGCATTGTACGGATAGAGGCAAATAATTGATAAAGAATCCCCACAAGAACAAAACATTCACACACAAGTGAGATCAGTAAGTCCAGTCCTACCAGCTGGAATAATCTTGCACGGGTCAGGCAGCCTCAGGGCCTAAACTAATCAGCTGAGGGTCTAGAGGAATCCGACTCCTGAATCACAAGAGATGGTGTCAAGCGTGTAGATTGCTCACCCAGACTCTGCCAATCTGACACATTTTCCCAAAATTGCCCATCTGGGGTCATATCAAAATAGGGCAATGGAGAGTGAGAATAATTTTCTGGCCAGGTATTTCTGCAAAGCCTATAATCAGTCCATGTTGGCCCGGTTCTGGATTAGGGAAGGATACTTTCCCCACTAATAGTTGAAAGCAATCCATTCCTGCATGCTTTAGCTCCCTAGAAGACAGATTCTTTGTTGAATGAGAAGTAGCAGTATTATCCAGGATCTCCTATACACAGTTTTAGCCCAGGTAGCCACATGGCCCAGCTACCTGAGCCAGGCTCCACCCCCATCATAATGGGATTCGCTGCTCCTGCTTCCCTGCCCGCCCTCAGGCAAAGTTTTAAGAGGGCCTGTTCCTGAACACTCTTGGCCCTTCTCTCCTGCTCTCTCCCGGTTCCTCTCTCTAGCCTCCTCCTCTGGTCTCTTGGCTCTTGGTTCTTCTCTCTTGGCTCTGCTCTCCTCTTCTCTGCTTTATCTTCACTCCTTGCTAGCTCCTCTCCTCTCTGTTTCTCTCTTATATTCTCTTTCTCTCTTTTTCCTTTGCCGCCCCTTCACTCCGGTCTGTAGGGTGTTCCCCAATAAACCCTTTTCCTTAAAAAAAAAAAAAAAAAAAAAAGAGAGAGAGAGAGAGAGAAGTAGCCAGTATTATCCAGAATCTCCTATAAGTAATATTCAAGGAATTTTGTTTTCCTTCTTTGATGTCTAGAGTTGTTAACCAAGAGAGAACTGGTCTACCTACTGTCGCTCCCCCTCTTCGTGGAGGAACGACACAGGACCCTGCGCTGTTCTTTCGTCTGCTCGGCCCTCCCCGGGTTTGCTGCTGGTTCTTCCCGGGTTGGCTACTGTCGCTTCCACCTCCGTGGAAGGGCGGTTCCCCCTGGCCACATTCCCCACTTCCGCAGGGGAGCAGCACACCACCGGCCGGCTCTCTCGGGGGCTGCACAGGTGTTCCCCTTAGATGTTCCCCTTAGATGTTCCTGGTGCATGCCGTCTCTCTCCTCCTTTATAGTCCTCCTCTGCCAATCCCAACTCGGCTGCCCACACGCCGAGCACGCTGCTCTCCTCCAATCAGGAGCGAGTCCTACAGTTTATTGGCTGAACTGGAGGCACCTGTGTAGAAGCTGTTTTCTTCTCTCCCAGCGCCATATTGTGGGAGAGCAGATGCATAGAATAAGTCTTAATTCCAGTAACTCAGTCTAGTCCGGGTTGCTCCCCACAGATCCCCCTTTCTTTTTATTTTTTGGCGTTGATACACGCCTGTCTTCGGTGTCCCGCAGCACACACTCTGCTCTACTTGCTAGAGTTGCCACAGGTTCTTACAAGTCCTATCAATCAGGCAAACCGAATCCGGGCCCTCTCTTCGCCATGTTGTGAGGAGGTTTTTAGGCACTGATGCGTGCCTGTGTTCGGTGACCTGCGGCTCACACTCTGGTCGAGCCGCTTGCTGGTGCTTACCGCCTTAATCAGGCAGACCGAATCCAAGCCTCCTAATTGTTGTATTGTGGGGAGGCCTTACTGATGTTAATTCGTGCCTGTCTTCGGTGACCTGCGGTGCATAAGCTGCTAGCCGCCCACAGGTGCTCATCGCCTCACTTAATCAGGCAGACCGAATCCAAGCTCTCACATTGCAGTGTTGTGGGGAGGCCTTACTGATGTTAATTCGTGCCTGTCTTCGGTGACCTGCGGCGCATAAGCTGCTAGCCACCGCAGGTGCTTATCGCCTCACTAATCGGGCAGACCGAATCCAAGCTTTCTCATTGCCATGTTGTGGGGAGGCCTTTCTATTTCTCTATTTCTCTATGTCCGGGCATTCCTATTTCTCCCATTCTACTTCCATCTTCCAGCATTCCCATTTCTCTCATTTTACTTCTAAGCTTCTGTTTCTCTTATCCCTGCGGCTTCCCGGCGGCGCTCGCCCCGAGGCTGCTTCTCGGCACCTCGCCCCGCGGCAGCTTCACGGCTCTGCGCGGCTTCCCGGTGCCTCGCCCCGCCGGCGGGTTCCCGGCTCTGCGCGCACGCTCCGCGGTCTCCACGCACTTTGCGCCCGCACCACGGCCTCGCGCCAGCCCCGCGTTCCCTATCTATTCACGCCCCGTGCTCTCTCTGCACGCAGCGGCTTCCGCGAATGTTTCCGCCACCACCGGCATTCAGTCCAAGTTCCCCGGACTAACCTGGCAAATTTCAACCTGGCGGCCCACGTCTCTGCCTCTGGTTCCAGATCTTCGCCTCTTGCTCCCCGGGGTGACTTGAAGAATTCCAAGGTGGCTTATGTTTCCGCCTTGGCCTGCACTCGCGGCTTCATCCTCCCTAACATTTTTCTCTACCCGGTATGTTTCCTTAAATTTTCTTCCAACAATATTCCTCTCCTTTCTCCTGGCTTCTCCCCACAGTCCGTATCCGAGTCCAAGCCTCCTCCAGGTTTCACTTTCGCTTTCAATCTCCTAGCTTCCCCGCCATAGTCCGCATCTGAGTCTATGAAAGCTTTCACTTTCGCTTTCAATCCTAACTTCTTTCCCACAGTCCATATCCGAGTCTATGCCTAGGCTTTCAATAGCTTCTTCTGGCACCTTTTTCGTCCGGCTTTTCCCTAGGCTGTTTGCTAGTCTCTCTCTCTGGTATTTTCCACTTCTTCCCTCCTAGGTTTCCTATCCGTCCTGGGTTTCCTATCCGTCCTAGGTTTCCTATCCGAGTCACGGCACCATTATGTCGCTCCCCCTCTTCGTGGAGGAACGACACAGGACCCTGCGCTGTTCTTTCGTCTGCTCGGCCCTCCCCGGGTGTGCTGCTGGTTCTTCCCGGGTTGGCTACTGTCCCTTCCACCTCCGTGGAAGGGCGGTTCCCCCTGGCCACACTCCCCACTTCCGCAGGGGAGCGGCACACCGCCGGCCGGCTCTCTCGGGGGCTGCACAGGTGTTCCCCTTAGATGTTCCCCTTAGATGTTCCTGGTGCATGCCGTCTCTCTCCTCCTTTATAGTCCTCCTCTGCCAATCCCAACTCGGCTGCCCATACGCCGAGCACGCTGCTCTCCTCCAATCAGGAGCGAGTCCTACAGTTTATTGGCTGAACTGGAGGCACCTGTGTAGAAGCTGTTTTCTTCTCTCCCAGCGCCATATTGTGGGAGAGCAGATGCATAGAATAAGTCTTAATTCCAGTAACTCAGTCTAGTCCGGGTTGCTCCCCACACCTACTCCTAAAGCAAAGAGGTCTTTTGGAGTTTTTAAAAGTCATTGATATCTGTCCCAGAGGGCTGGAAGACGGGTCAGCCAAAAACAAACACTCTATATTTCTTAAGAACATTTAAAAGGATTACAAGACAAGTAAGACATTGTCATGTTTATTTGCACTGCTGTAACAATATACCTGCGGATGGGCAACTTATAAACAGAACTTCGTCACAGCTCCAGAAACTGGGAAATCCAAGGTCCAGACGCAGTAGGAGGGGCCGGCACTGTGGCATAGTGGGCTAAGTCTCTACCTGCGGCACTGGCATCCCATATGGGCACAGGTTCATATCTTGGCTCCTCCTCTTCTGATCCAGCTCCCTGCTAACGGCCTGGGAAAGTAGTCGCAAATGGCCCAGGTGCTTGGGCCCCCATACCCACTTGGAAGACCTGGAACAAGCTCCTGGCTTCAGATCAGCCCAGCTCTGGCCATTGTGGCCATTTGGGGAGTGAACCAGCAGATGGAAGACCCACCTCTGCCTCTCAAACCTTAAACACACAAACACACTGCAGGCACAGTGTCTAGTGAATGCCCATTCCTCAAAGTTGTACTATCTAGGTGGCATCACATGGTAGAAGGAGCACACGGGCATAGGGGACCTTGCTGGCTCCCTCTAGCATTTTTTTTTAATAAAGCTGCTAATCTTATACTTGAAGATCCCACCTTCATAACTTGTCACCTCTGAAGGCCCAGCTCTAAATGCTGGTAAACTTAATTACAAACACAAGACAGGGCGCAAACATTCAAATCACGGCAGTTACAAAAGTCAACATTTTTGAGGAAGGTGCCAAAGACTCTCAATTAGTTCATTCCCCTCTGCCATTGGCAATACCACTGTCCTTACTTAATATTTGCACAAAACACTGCAGCTGGTAATCAGCAGAATCGGGATATTATTCAGGTCTGCTCAGATCCAAACCCACACTCTTAACCTCTTTATTAGAACTGTGCCTGGAACAAAGCTAGTGGCCAACACACGCTTGTTGAATCTTTAGATTTGGTCAGTTGTTTGATCCCAGGATTCTGAAGTGTTCCTGGAGCTAGCCGAGAGATCTCAACAAACAGGAGGACTACACCTAATAATGTCATATGCAAATGTTTTCTGTTAATTCTATGCCTTGTTGAAATTCAATTAGAGGAGGAAAAGGAACTACTAACAATTAGATAATTAAGAGGAAGTTAAAGTTTTGCGTACAAAAAAGCTTAAAGTCCCATTGCTTTTTGGAAAACCCAGTCCCTAACTGGACTCCAGACAGCGAGAGCCTACATTAAACACTAGCTAACACTTCTATTATTACTTCCAGTTTTCAGAAGGGAAATTCGAGGTACAGAGAGGTGAAGCAATTAACCCTAGGTGAGACGACCAGTGAGTGGTAAAGCCGAGATTCTGGCCCAAGGGATGCAACTCCAAAGCATATGTTCTGAACCATTTGGCTATTTCTTCCCAAAACGATCACTTTAATCAGTCCCACTTATCCTTTATGCACACTATCTTACTCACTATTCCCAGTCAGGAATCTGTGTACTCATATGTGTGTCTGAGTGCATGCAGATACAGGCATAGGGATGAGTATAAGAATGCACCGGTCTTCCATCGCACCCTGTAAACACACTTGGCAAGTCTCTAAAGCCCTGATGGAAAGCCGTCAGAGAGTCCATGTGGTCAGTCACAACAAGGACCTGCTCATATTTTCATGAGGAGCGTTACTGGATCTTATTTCGGAGAACAGAATTCACTTATTCTTGGAGTCTCATTTGTTTTTGCACTATTATGTGAAATAAAAATATTAACCACAGAAAACGGAAACATCTTGGAGGACAGAGCTTAGCAGTGACCTTCTAAGGGTGGGGAAAAACATTTCCAATGCACAGTACAGACCGAAGGCCTCAGAACTGTGCATACTCTCCACTCAGGTGTTAGGACCCTACGCCATGTACCCCCATTCATGCCAGAACTGAGAACTTGCGCCTTTTCTTCTTCACTTATCTGATTGTGCGATTTACCTCTGTGGAGTGTGACAAGCCAACCAGCATTGGGCATCAAGCTCTTGTATGCTGCATGTCCTCAGTTCCCAGGCAAATCATTCATGCAAAGGTAATATGGTCCGGCTGGGACTTTTTGCTCAACCTGAACCCTCGATCCATGGTCTCTTCATCTAACAAAAGCATTTCACTGGTTAAGCAATCTTTAGTCCTCAGGACCAAAGACAGGCTCTCATGTCACAATTTAAGCAAGCATGCAGCTCACCTAGGGGTTCTTGGCAACAAGATTTGGTAGGTTTGGGAGGGCCTGAGAGTTTTCATTTCTAACAACTCCACACATGGCGACTGTCAAACTGCTGGACAACAGGCTACTCCTCCTGGAGGAACAATGGTCTTAGGCAAATGTCAAACAGCTTCAGACAAAAGTATGTGTTTGGGTTTGAGTTCAGGGTCATTATATCTTCAAGTGGCATTAAAAATGCTAGACAAGCCTCAGAATCACCTATTCACTTTTTAAGGCTTTGGATTCCACAAGGCTACCTCACTTCATGGAAGGAGGAAGACAACTATTCCATACATACAATTAAAAGGAACCCCTTCTGAGACTTAGCCACAAGCTTTCTTGTGTTCATTTACCCAAATGAACTAATGATTTCACCAAATCCTTCACAGTGTGGAGTCCTTGACACTAATAGGTTTAATACTTGGCAAAATCCCTACAGCAGGCTGCTTTGGATGCAAGGGTTGGTACCATTTTGTAAATAAGGAACTATTTCACTGTTCGGTTTCATGGACCAAGTTCCTACGGTAACCCGACTTAAGGTTATGTACAAATTCCTTGGAGGAGAGGCTTTAATATTGAAGAGTGACTTGTGATTAGCATATCAATAAGAATAAACAAGCAGTCCTTTTAGGATACCAGAGGGTACTTGAGGACAGAGGCTTTTCACAAACTTCAACTTCTGTTTAGACTCTTAAATTGGTTGGTAAGTTCTTCCTTCCAAGGCACTTTAAAAAGGTCAAGTTCAGCTTAAACCTCTCGGAAAATTAATGAGGTTTCAATGTACTCAGAAATGCAGAAGTGGTGTCAAGGTTACTTGATTGACCCAAGCCAAAGAAACTTAAAGAATAGCAACATATTTTGGCTGAGTGCTTACTTTTAAGTCACCTATTCTGTTGAATGGGATATTTTGAAGAACGCTTGTTTCAACATATTGTCAAACTACGAGGTCACTGGTGAGCAGCAGAATGCCTTTTTTTGTACATCTTTTTTAAATGGCCAGAGAGCAATAAAGCATGGAAATAATGCTAAAGGAAAGTGGCCAGTGTGGCTTTGTTTTAAAAAGGGACCCCAAGAACAAAAAGACAGTAGTTTTCTGTTAAACTAGAAAATTCTGAATTAAAGGTCAGATCACTGAACACATTGAAGCTGAGCAGTTGGTCCTGCCATGCTTTCATTATGCCAGTGAGTTATGTCTATTTAAGTCACTAATGTCAAAGGGCTGTGGGTTCAACTCTGGGTTGAGCCACTGGCTGTCAGCGTGACCTAGGGCAACTCAAACTCACTATGGTTCAGACTCTTTACCCATTAAGCAGCGTAAGAAGTATTGACGTTCCAATGTTATGGAATGGAAGCCCAGTAAAGAGCCTTTCACGTAATGGGCAGGTGCATTTCATACATATACCACACATACACATTCCCATAGGAGTGCTGCTTAATTGTTCACAGGACAAAAGTCAGCCCTTGAGTTTTAAAGACACACATGAGCCACAGGTCAGAAGAAAAGTCAACAGCTGTCATCCAAAGCACATATTAAAATCCATAAAATGTCTAACCACCAAAGGTGACCCGGGACAAAAAGCACAAAGAGATGGCTGTTGAACAAACCAGAACACGAGGTCAGAACTCATCCTTACCTTTGAGGGTCAAGTCCTGAGACACAGTCCCAGTCTTCCCCCAGGGCACGCCCCTCAGTGTGGGCCATGCTCTGCTTACAAGTCAGTTCCTGGGCCTCAGGCTCCTCATTGGGCTTGGGTTCAAAAGTTAACATTTTCTCTTCTCTTAGTAAAAACAGACAGTAATGTCTGTAATTCTGCTTCTTCCTCAGAGTTGATACTTGCTGTTTCTTTGAATTTTTGTTCTGGAGAATTTTTTGTAAATATCTCCCTTCCAAATCCTCCCAAAAAGTGAATGTTAGTGTAAGATGCCACTGTTGTAGCAAAGTCAACTTTTAAGCCCACATTTCTATCCTGGGGTGACCTTGGGCCACGAAGAAAAGAATTGTCTTGAACTTCTACTATCTTAGTGAGAAATTCAGTAACAATAAAGTATAGAACTCAGAATAAATACAAAATGGAAGTATACATTGTATATCTACATTTTTTTCCCTCTAGAAAGGCACTGTGATATAGTGAGAGGGCAGAGAGAGAGAGAGAGAGAGAGAATCTTCCATCTACTGGTTTACTCCCAAAATGACTGCAACAGTTAAGTCTAAGCCAGGATGAAGCCCGGAGCTAGGAACACCAACTCAGTCTCCCCTATATGAGTGGCAGGGGCCCACGCACTTGACCATCCTCCACTGCCTTCCCAGGTGCTCCCACAGGAAGCTGGATCAGAGTAGAACAGCCAAGACTTGAGCCAGCTCACAGATAGGGATGGCAGCTTGCAAGCAGCAGCTCGATGCTGTACCCCAGTGCTGCACCCCACCCTTGTAATTTACTTTTACTGATATTCAGCATTAGGCAGTTTCACTGCTTCTGCTCTAACCCAAAACACTGACTGTGAAGACAGGGATTCCTCCCGCATAGCCACAGAGCAACTGTTGACCTGAGTGCCACATACTCATACTGGAATGTGAGCACCTGGGTTAGCCAAATTTCCTCAAGGAAATTTGCAAAGAAAAACGCTCTTCGTTTCAAGCAGGACCTCAAGAGAACCGAAGCACAGCTCATAGCAGGACTGGGTAAGAACAAGACTGATAACGTAGGAGTTCTCCAAGTTGTTACCCTTTGGCTTATTGAGGAGCAAGATCCCGAATAAGACTTTGAAACCTGATATTCATTGTTCAGTCAGCAAATGGAGATCAAAATCCCACCTAATCTCCAGATGTGACTGCGAGAAATACAAAGATACTCCCTAGCAACTGATGCACAGACTAATACTGTTAACACACACTGCAGACTGCTCAGAGAAATGACCTAAGTGGCGACTGGGGTCTAAAGAGCAACACTATCAAGAAGTGTCTTACTTCTACTCCCAAAAATAGGGGTTGCAATGAATGTTGGCACCATAATGCACAGGATTTAGGCCGAATTTCAAAGAGCACATTTGACCATGGTGTTACTCATCAACTTAACCAGGTATTTAGAAATCTATGCTCCCAGACTGGAAAACAGCATGCAGACAAAGAGCTTTTTGTTTTAGAGGCTGTTGTGTTTGGGATCTGCTGGCAGGCGTGTGTGTGTTCTCTTTCTGTTTTGTGTTTTCCCCCCTCCCCTATCAAGGCTGTTTCTTGGCTACACCGTAACGTATGACACATTCACCCAGATGATCGACTGTGGGCATTCGTTCTGTTCAGGCAAGTGTTGTCCTGAGCAGCAGGTACACTGGAGCCCATGGAGAAGGGCAGCAGTGGCTCCTCATCAGTCTGCATGTTCCACGGCCCCATCCTGCTGCACATCACGGAGGCCCTGGTAACTTGGAGGACTTGGTACCCAGGGCCTCTTCCCCCAGGGCACTCACACAGGGGTGCATTCCCATAGAGAAGGAGGCTTGAGGATTGGCTCTGTAGTAGGTTTCTTTGGGCAATAAAGGATATGAAAGTTCGGAAGTACCTCTCCAAGTGTGTACATAAGTGTGTACAAGATAGCAGAACAAGATGTACCAAACGCTTAGGTCACAAAACATTCCCCCCCTCGCTCCAGCTGAAATCAACAAGAATGTTTACTGGGAGAAATCAGAATCTCTCCAATTTAAAACTCCTTTTATGAGACTAGACAGCCAACTCTGCCTCCATCCAGAGAAGAGGACGCACTGTCCCATGCTTCTGTAACTGTCACTGACGCAACTCACAAAGAGAAAGAATGAGATGACTGTGGGCAGCATTCGCCAGTGATGCATCTCACAATTGCCTTTGGAGGCTTCTCCAGTGTTCCTGGGTCCCTGATGCTACATTTCTGAAGAATGTGGTCCTCAGTTAAGACAGAAATGGATGGTCTCTGCATAGGTATTCCTACCATGCATCACACTAATGATCCAAAGACTGATCTGGGTGCCGATATGGTAGCCAGGTCAGGTGCGCCACCCAGACTGCCTTCCCTCCACCCTTGGTCTCATCATTCCTCTCCACCCTCAAAACCAAACAAACCCAGACAGCCCCTCAGAAGAAGCCACGTAAAATCAAAAAATAAGCAACTGGCAAAAACATCAGCTTACAGAGAACTGGCCTTCCCCTGCCTGGAACAAAGAAGCATAAATTATGCACCTGGCAAATACTGTCTGGTCTCCAGAACAGTTAGATTCATCCATTTTTATTTTCCACAGAAGTACCTAACTACAGCTGAGAGAATAAATCAATTTAATTCCACAAACATTTATCATGTTCTAGTCTGACTGCACTCTTTCTGGGGGGGGAAAAATCATGCACTTGGCTATGGGAGTGGATGATTTGAAGACGACTAGACTCATTCTTTTCCTTTACCACTCCCACCAAAAGCAAATGAGGAAAAAAATAACCAGCTCCCTCAAACAGTCAGCACAGAGCAACTTCCTATTGTCAAAGGCCACTAGCCCAAGACATGCCAGTTCCTTTCAGTAGATGGACAAGGGTTCCCTTCTGATCTTTCTTGTACATTGTATAAAGACAATGTTTTCTTCCATTAAGAAATTAGCAATTAATTCCTAACCATCAATCATCCTTCATTATTCTGGATATACAGATTAGAAGAATCATACATTAAAACAAGTTGTGGCATCACAGCTGTATATATTAAGTTTGGAATTATCAGATCTATTTGAAATGAATTCTAAACCTGTAATGCAAGGGAAAGGCAAAGCCATCTTTGCCAAACATTTAAGGAGGTTTGGTTTTGTTTTGTTTTTAAACACATATTTCCTTGTAGAAAACTTTTGAATGGAGCCAAGAGAATTTAGGCTAACTCATCTGGGAAGGCTCTGTCACATACTTGGGGGCTTTGGGAAAATAATTTATGTACTCTGAGGCGTCAGTTTCTTCATTGGGGAGATAGGGACAATCATACCTCTCACAACCTGTGACAAACAAATGAAATGATCAACAGGGGCGAAACCCACATCCCAATTCCAGTTTCTTGCCAACACCCACTCTGGGAGGCAGTAGGTGACGGCTCAAGAGCTCGGGTCACCGTCACCGCCACAGGAAGCCCAGGTGGAGCTCCCAGCTCTTGGCTTGGTCGTGGCCCAGTCTTAGCCATTGCAGGCATTCGCAGAGTAACCTAGCAGATGGAAGATTTCTCTCTCCCTCAAATGAATCAAATAAATATCAGAACAATGAACCCTTTATGAAAACAATTCCAGTCTTCAATATTGATATTTGACTTTATAGTCCAAAAGCATCGGTGAAGGAAAACAGTCTGAAAAAAAATCCACCTGTTACCTGAAGTGTGTAACAGGGTCTTTAAAACTTCAAGTCAGCTGTGGCTCTTGCTTAGCCACAGTTTTAGAAAGAAGGGGGAGTTTTTTCTTTATCCTATCCTCATGTGTTGTATTGGATGACAAGTGAAGAACACTGTTTTTACTTATATTGCTGTTGGCTGTTAAATTTTGCATTTAGTGTCAGTCTGATTAATATAAAGGCATCTTCAAAAAGCTCATAAAAATCTATACACAGCTCAGAAATGATACATAGATTAAATTTTCTTAAATACCAAATAATCTTTTGAGCTCATTTTTCTATGAATTTTTGAAGTACACTCATATATATCAAGAGTTGAAAGTAAGCAAAAGCTCCCATATCCTATTGAGACTGGGCATTCCAAATTCAGCAAAGTGTGAGTGGCACGCCTCCTTTCCCCTTAAGCTGATATTTTTAACCAGCTACCTTGTAAGGTGATGTCCCAGACCTCAAAGAGATCAGGGTTCAGCATAAGAGACAGTCAGACTGGACGTTACAAAATGATGAGAGCCACACGGTACAGAGAAGGCCTTCAAACTCGTTTAGTTAGGGATGTGGCAGGGATACGCTGGTGCTAGCCCAGAGAAGCTGGGGACAAGGAAGAGGAGAGCACAAAAAACCATGTGCTCCCTGCACCCCACAATGGGGATCAGGATGAGCCAGAGATGAGGTTAGAGGGGGAGGCAGAGGTCACTCAAGGAGAATCTGGGATTAGGGGCACAGAAGTGTGCTCCCCGAGTCTTGGATTCAACCCAAGTCAGGAGACCCTCCTCACAGACAAGGACGTGGAGTGCCAGGAGCTGTGTGTTGGAAGGAGATCGGTGCATATGCTAAACCATTTTATATCCAGAATATCCTGCTTTTGTATAAAATATTGCCATTTCTGTGGGAAGAATGCTTCACCGCTCAAGACAAAAATAATTGATATAAAGGTAAATATCTCTCACTGGAAAAAAATGGTAAAAAAAAAAAATTCAACCCAGAAAGAACATTTTCACATGGAAAATATGCACACCATTCTTTCAGGATTTATACAAAATCCTGGGACATTTCTCGTTGACTTCTACCCGAGAGGGATCACGTTATTTCTATATAAGCCAGGTAGGAAAATGAAGGGTTTCAGCCAGTTCCAGCTTCCAGGAACACAATGCAACCCTGTGGCGCCAAGGGTTCAGGATGAAGTGGGCTGCCTGTGAGTCACCTGGAAAATGGCCACCCAGGGACAGATGGAGGTGCAGACCCATTCTGGGCTCGTTAGAAACCCCGTGCTACAAGATGGTATCCATGCACCAATCATCTCTGCACATACTTATACTGGGAATTTCTTAAGAGATCAAAAAACTCAGGTCTTGGTGTGGGAAGCTGGAAATGAGTTAGTGTTTAATGGGATGGCAAAGTCCTGGAGATGGATAGTGGTAATGGCCACACAGCACTGTGAGTGTACTGAATGCCACTGGACTGTGCATTTAAACTCGCTAAAGTGATAATTTTATTATATGCATTTCTTATTATAATGAGAGAGAAGCCCAACTCAAAAACAGTAGTTTCCAATAAGATAAATCTCTCTAGAAGCCTCATACAGCTTCCAGAAGTACAATGTACAGATCAAATAGAATTTCTCCAGAAACACTTTGAAGTATCAGCTCCAACCTTATGTCCCAATGGGTGACAGTAAACAACCACGGCAAGTCATCTAAAACAATACGGAGCTTTCTCGCCAAAGGCCACCCGTCTCTACCCTTCCCTGCAGTCTACAAAACTAAGGCCCTCCTGACCGTGACTGCTGCGCTAACTACTCTGTATTTAGAGTTCTCACTGAGCCAGCCGCAACCCTTTTCTTCGTGTTGTAGTTGGGAACAGAACAGACACAGAAGTTCTGGGCATTGCCTTGGAAAGTGGACAGGTCCAAGATCTGAAACAATGCCCAAGGCCACAGCACTCGAGTCATACACAGCCCTACTTGCAGGCCCTGGCAAGGCTTCCCCCCTCATTTTAGACCCTCCCCACCAGGCAAGGCTCCTACTTAGTAGAGTTCTGTATCTTCTTGTAAAATAGCAGACATGTGTGTGTGTGTGTGTGTGTGTGTGTGTTTACTCATATACAATATCCAAGAGGGTTTAATAAAATTAAGGTTAAGCCAGAGATAAGAAATTCAGTCTTCAAGTCCCAACTGATTATTCTTTTTAAATGGGCTCAAATGTTTCCCATGTGCAAAACAGTTAAAAATGTGAGGCAGCCCAAATTGTGGATCTGTAATCCTGGCAAGGCTCCGTGTACGACTTACAAATAACCCCAGAATAATGGTAATTACATAGTAACTATTGATTGCTTAATTACTTGAAAGTGCCTTATAATCACCAAGTCATTACGGGTGTTAGGAGATCTAAACCCTACAAGTCACGAGGATGCTGTGCATCAAGTTATTTGACAATTCATTGATATGAGATGGAATGAAAGTCATTTGAACTAAAGCAATCTAAAGTTCTTCTAATCAAAAGTAGACACATGAGTGGCAGGCCACATCTTGCCACCTTGTCATCCAGTATTAGAAAGAATATGTCTTCTCGGGGAAGTTGTGGTCCAGTGGGTTACGCTACCACTTAGGATGTCAGCATTCCATATCAGAGCGCCCATTCAAATCCAGGCTACTCTGCTTCTCACCCAACTTCCTGCTAAGGCATCTCAGAAGGCAGTGGAAGATGGTCCAAGTACTTGGATGCCTGCCACCCACACTGAGGACCCGGGCAGAATTCCTGGCTCCTGGCTTTGGCCTGGCCTAGATCCACTTGCTGCATTTATTTAGTGAATGAACCAGTGGATGGAAGATCTCCCTTTCTCATTCACTCTCTCATGCTCTTTCAAATAAGTAAGTCTTTGTGTTTTGTTGTGTGTGTGTGTGTGTGTGTGTGTGGTTTTTTTAAGTTTATATTATCATCCATTGAGTCAGCAAGAATCTGCCAAAATCTTGTGTCTGGTTAATGAGAAACTGGTAGAAAATGCTCACCTATCTACAACCTTCAGCACAGAGACACATCAAAGCCACCCAGCCAAACAGGTATCAAGTCACATTTGCGAGTATTCCAAATAAATCATCTTGCTGATGGTTTGGAATATTTCTGTCCAGAGTTTCACAGTTGGGAAAGCACAAGCCATCAATGGCTTCAAGCAAGCAACTTGTGCAGGTCCTCAAGATGAGCATGCCCAACCCCTTCATTATATAGCTGTTCCTCCACCTACTATGCGATACATTCCAACAAACTCATCAGAATTTGAAAACGCACTTAGTAGATTTAACCTACGGATCATCACCTCTTAGTCTAGCCTACCTTAAACATGCTCAGATCACTTACAGTAGCCTATATTTGGGCAAAATCATCTAACATAAAACCCATTTTATAACTATAGTAAAGTTATCTCATGTAACTTGTTCAATTTTATACTGAAAATGAAGAACAGAATGCTTGTATGGGTATACTTTTGTACCAACATAAAGTTGAAAAATCATAAATCAGATCAGCTGTATATGAAACCAAGACCAAGACATGCTTAAGCTCACGCAACTAATGAATCACAAGGCCAAGACTTAAAGCCAGAAGGGCCATCAGTCCTTGTTTGTGTAGCACAAATCCTACCTGCTTCCAAGCTCTGCTTCTCCCAAGGTCATCCACTCTGACCCAGGATATCAACAATGGACGAATCTTGGCTAACACCACTCTCCACCCCCAACTCCGAATGTTTTAACTTTTAACTTTGCACACATCTGTTCATCTTTCAAGACTCAACTCAGGAGTCAGCTCCTTTATGAGGCCTTTCTTGGTCTTCCCACAACCCCCACAGAATTAGCTCTGCTCTGTACACTCTTATGGTACCTGTGAGACACTATTGAAGCGATTAATTTACATGTCTTGGTACCCAAAGATGTGAGGGCTGGGGTTATGCCACATGCTTATCTATAAGTACACCCTGAAGGCAAGGCCAAGCAGATACTAGTTGATTATGAAGGCTGACACTAAATACAGAAGCAAAAGTAAACAAAATCCCAGGGCAGAGAGAAGAGTGGTTGTGTCTCATCTCTAAAGGCAGACACCCAAAAGAGCATGTATACCACCTGAGAAGCCATACTGAGCCCAGCGGCTCTCAATCCTGGCTGCATCTGGGAAGTTTCGGAGAAAATAACCTAATTCAGATCCACCAAAACCAAATTAATTCCTAGGGAAGGATCCAGACACTTAGTTTTTCAAAGCTATCCAGTAGATTTCTATGCACAGTGGGGGCTGAGAGCAACCAGCACTAACAAGAAATCCACATGGTTCCCCCTAGCAAGTTTTGGTGGCAACTGTGGGGACTCTTCCGTATGGCACCCAGCACATAGGTACTCACAAAGACCCTGCCCTAAATCCTCACACGGCAACCTTCTAGACACAGCATGAGCTGGCATGGTCTCGAATCAAATAAGACTGTAACAATCAATGAGCTGAAAGACCCTGGAGATGTGAACTCATCAGGCCAACACATTTCAAAAGCAAATGATCCTTCTACATAAGAGCAGTAGTGAAACTGTTACCTATAATCTGTCAACTATAATCAAAATACATGCTGAGACTAATAATAAATAATTAGATCTTCCAAAAGCTTGGCTACAAGTCAAAGAAATGTATGACTAAGAACAATGCTTCACATTTACTATACACCTTGGAGCTGTTTTGTAAATAAATGTCTATTTGATGTTAAAAATCAGTTTCTACACTCGTATAAAAACAATGCTTGATATTTTGACAGCTGCAACTTTTTCCCTTAATTGAATGAAACCAACTAGTTTCCTTGACCATATCATTAACTTATGTTAATAGTCAATATGTTACTATAAATAGTATAAAACCTATCTGTGAAGGAGATGAACATATCAGACCTGGCCCAACAGCTGGCTGATGAGCCAACAGAAAAGGCAGCCCCTGGACCCAAAGTGATAGGATGACAGGGAGGCTGCAGCAACAGAGACCCCACACTTCTGTGGTACAGGGGAACAAGTCATCCTGATGTCTAGTGGAGTATATCCAGAGGCCTTAGCAGGGGTTGCTTGTGGTGAAAAGAGAAGGGATTCCATGGAAAATAAAAATAAAAATAAATCGGAAGATACTAGGTAAGACAAAGCAATACAAACGCTGTCTTCCTTCGAGAGGGCAGAGTGGTCAATGCTATGATGCTTTGTTTACAGAGTTTCTCTCGGGGTTCCACTGGGCATGCTTTGGGAAACATCTCCAAGCAGCTGCCAGAAGTCAGGCAGAGGCAAAGGCTGAGAGACCCGACTCCATCCAATAACCATCATTTGCCTGAAGTCCCCGACGCAGGCAAGAGAAGGGACTGAAGAATGGTTCTGTGGGTGGCATCAAGCTATCCAGAAGAGCTGGTCATTTACTTGGTAACACACAGCACAGTGAGCCTGCAGATGAAGAGAAAGAACACCACAGGACTAACCTGCCCTGTCCCCTGCTGTAACAGCACCTGGCACCTGCTTATAATGAATAGCATAACAATCAGACCATACATGTACAGCACAGTTTATATTGGACAATACTTTCGTAGGCATTAGTTCTCTTCAACTTGGTGAGATCTCAACCCGGTGAGATCTATCCAAAAAAGAGAGCTTTTTATTCTCAGAGGATCACCAAAGCCCCAAGTAGAGCTATGGCAAACGCAGAGCTAAGACAAGCTAGGGGTAGAACCAAAACTATCAGCAGATCTTCAATACCCCACACTCCTCCACTAATGCCACAATAAAGGCTCTACTTAGCTCTTACATTACCTGAAGAGAAAGTACCGTTGTCTGCCCCCCGATTTGTACAATACAGTTTAAAAAAAAAAATCACTGTCAATCTACCAGAGTGCCTCAACCAATGCTTATTTCCTCCAGTAATCTATCTTGTCGTTATCAACTATAGAGAAATTGACATGCTTTTAATACTTAAGACCAACTATGGTCTTTAAATAGCAATTGCATCCTCAAGTGCCATTCAAGAAATATCGAGGATTGGAGTTAATGCATATGGTGCCATTCTGAGCATACATAAAAACCAAGAAATCCCAAGCAGAAGGCAAGCAGAGAGTTGTGTGTTTGACTTCATTCACCAACGATCGCTTCCTTCAAATAAAGCGTTTACACAAACAAGACCATGAGCAGAACTGGCACGCGTCCTCAGAAGAAGGAAAGGTTATTAAGTACCTACTAAGTGTCAGGCACTGAGAGCTTTCACATATTTTCCATGTGAATTTCTAGAGCAACCCTGCTCTAATGCCCGATGAAGAAACTCAGACTTGGCAAGAAGGGTGGCTATCTTTATGCAACTGGAATGAGGCAGAGCCAGACACCTCAGTCCAGTTCTAAAGTCCTTTTATTACACTCCTTCCCACTTATGAAAATGCTAATTACATTCCCAGATATAGTGTATTTGCCAAGACCTCTAAGGTTCCCCCCCACCGCCACCCAACTCCCTGCCACAGCACAGTCAGCTCGCACAGCATTAGCTGCTCCAAATTCAACACACCCATTGCCTCTGCTTGCACCTGGCTTTTAGGAGTTTTGCCATTTTTGTCTTATTGGTAAAGCAATGGTTCTCAGCTCCACAGAGCTAACATGTCTACAGCACATCCCAGAGCCTCTGCAACAAAGCGTTGTCATCCCAAATCTCAATGTCGCCAAGCTGGAAGAACCCTACCTAGAATGAGCACGTGACCAAACGAATGTGCTTACTCCCTGGAAAGCGGCCCATCACCACTGTAACGAGTAACTCAGACCCTGTCTATGAAAACCCTTAAAACACAGTGAGCGTCAGGCCCCGGTCAGACCATCAGATCGCATACTCCTTAAAGAGCCACCTCAGTCAGCCTCGTATTATTCCCACACAAAGCACAGGGCTTTGTCACTGGCACTCAACAACTGCGAAATAATGTATTCTTTCTATTGGAGATTCTTGATGAAAAAAGAACAAATACCACTATTATCTTAGAAACACAACATTCTCCCATACTCCCTCCTCGCCAAATAAGAAGCAAACAGTATAATGCATCATTCTTTGCAAGAGACTGTGAAAGCTACATTGCACCCTGGTAACGTCACAGAATCAAGACTACTGATAAGCTATTAAAGTATTTTCTTTTAATGGAAACTTAATGAAGAGATCACAACATACAGATCTGAGAAAATCTCAGACACCAAGCTCAGATCCCCCTATACAAGGGCAGGGTTGACAATTTGATTCTCAGGTCTTGAGCGGAATTATTCAGGAATAACCTGAAACTGTAAATCATAGCAAAGAAAAACATTGGAAGTCAAATCTGAATGACTAAGTCAAAACTGGTTGGTATCACATCTCAGAGGTCAAGATCTTTATGTATGTTTTTTTTCCTCAGCTTATGCAAGTTTGAGTCAGCCAGGAAATCCTAAAGTAAATGATTACAGAAAGTATTAGACTTAGCATTCACTCAAGCAATCCCACATCAGGATCATTTACAGTTAATTCTGCAGTTTCTGGAGGGCCTTGAACATTAGAATGAATGCACACAATTAATAAAAATTTCTGAGCCATAGCCCCAGATCTACTAAATGAAAATTTCAGGGATTGGAAAATTGGGGCTTGGAAATATTTGTAATGCTTTCCTCAATGTTCGTTCTGCATATTGAAGTTTGAGAACCTCTGCCAGGAGACTGCGCCTCGGGAATTTTTTTATTTTTGCCACAATTTGGTGCATTTTGTGAATTTCTAGCATGGTTGACATCCATACACTGACAAGTCACTTAACACAAAATTCACAAATACCTCCCAGCAGAAGAACAAGTACACCTTTCTGTTTATTACTTTTGTGCAAATATGTTTTATCAAAGTAGACCACTGGTTTATGGGAAATGATGAAAGAACTCGGAAGCAATATAAAAGGAATTATACAGGGGAAAGGAGCTCAAATCTGGACCCACAACTGTCAAATTCACTTATGTGCCAGCCCTCTAAGAACACAGTGAGGAACAAGACGAACTCTGATCCGATTTTCCATTTATGGATTTATATCGTTTAACATACACATAAACATAAGACAATGCAGACAGGGGCTGGTGCTGTGGCATAACGGGTAAAGTCACTGCCTGCAATGCCAGCATCTCATATGGGTGCCAGTTCGAGTCCTGGCTGCTCCACTTCCTATCCAACTCCCTACTAGTGTGCCCAGGAAAGCAGCGGAGGATGGCCCAAGTGCTTGGGCCACTTCACCCACACGGGAGACTGGGAAGAAGCTCCTGGCTCTGGCCTAACCCTTCCTATTGTGGCCATTTGGGGAGTGAGTCAATGTATAAAAAATTTATTTTGCTGTCTCTCCCTCTTTAACTCTGCCTTTCAAGTAAATAAAAAATCATGGGAAAAAAAAGATGCAGAGTGGCAATGCCATCCAGACAAGACAACAGGTTGCTGTGATAAAGTCTATGGCAGACCCAGAAGCAGCAGCTGCCTGTAGTAGAAACAGGGATGAGAGTGGCTTTGTGCAGGAGGTGGAAACTGCCCCGAGATCTGCAGAAGAGGCTGATCATGAGAGAGCGAGGGAGAGTGCTCCAGGCAGAGGGAGCCATAACCATGAAGACCTTGAGAACAAGGTGTTCATGAAATTATGATAGACATTCAATAGGACATCAAATAAGATATACAAAGATATCATGAAATATAGAATACTATATACAAAGATATCATGAAACATAAAACTTTGGCCAAGTAAAAAAATATTTAGTAATGCATAAGAATGAGTTTAGGACAGAAACCGGGATGATGAAAGGGCGCCAATCTATGTCACATGAAGAATTAGGCAACTGAGGCGATACAGCCTGGAGATGTGCATGAGAGTACTTCAAATATTTTTTGAAAATGGAATCAAAGGAGAGGTTTACTTTGGCAAAGAAGTTTAGAAATTCAGGCAGTTTTTTCACAATATGCATTTTCTATGACCTTTCCTAAGGACCCTTACATGCTCAGGAAAAGGAGGGAGACACCTTGTTCAAACACCTGAAGGACTACGCTCTTGCGGAAGAGGACAATTGTATGTTTTAAATAACTGGAGGTGCGAAGCAAGGTTGAAGTGACAGACATTTTCAGAAGGCAGAAACCTCCACTCAGTTACACAAACATTCCAATGGATGGACTGAGAGATAATGAGTTCCACATGACTAAAGGTGCTCAAGGATGAATTCCCCAGCCAGCTGGCCGAAAAATGGTCAGACTAGAAGACATATGCATATGCAAGAAGGAAAGGCAGGGAGGGAGGGCCTTTCATCCATTGGTTCACTCCCCAGTTGGCTGTAACAGCCAGAACTGTCAATCTGAAGCCAGGAACTTCTTCTGGGTCTCTCACGCAGGTACAGGGGCCCAAGGACTCAGGAAGTGGGGCAGCTGGGTCTTGAACTGGCACTCACATGGGATGCCAGCACTGCAGGCGGCAGCTTTACCCACTATGCCACGGCGCCAGCCACTACACTTCCCAACCTTAAGAAACTAAGAAATGCTGAGGTATCTAATTCCCAACTCACGTTGTCTCCTTGGGATAAAATAGGTCTTCATCTTTATGATATTTATTTCAAACGAGCATATTAAGAAACAGGATAAGCCAACATCTATTTGAACTCTGTGGCTAATTTGAAGTGGTATTAAAATAGTCATTAAGTAATTATTTCAACTTATTCCAATAAGTATTCTATTTTAACCAATGTGCTTGGATGCTATTAAGTTCCAAATAGGTGGCAGCATGCCAACAAACAGCCAAGACTTTTATCAACAGGTATGTGGACTTCTACAGGTTTATATTCTAATGGTTCTCAGACAAGGGAAGTGGTTTGCTCATTAACAGTCCTGATGCAGTACACATTGCATACATGAGACAGAAATGTCATGTTGTACCTCACAAAAATTTGCAATTATTATGTGTCAATTCAAGTTAAAACTTGCTTGAAGAAGCTCTGACAGAGTCATCATTCTTTACCATCTACATCTTGTGTCCAGGACATAAAGTAAAAACAAAGATATTAAACTGCTACTGAGATCACTCTACTAAAGGTAAGCAAAATACATTATGAGGAACAGGTAACCATGGTGGGCACTTGGCCTAGTGGTTGACACCCATATTCAACGTCAGCATGTTGGGGTTCAGTTTCTGCTTCTGGCTCCAATTCTAGCTTCCTGTAAATACAGGCCGTGGGGCGCACCGGTGATGGCTCCAGGGCTGGGTTCCTGGTGCCCATATGGGACACCTGGATTGAGTCTTGGAGCACTTAGGGAATGGATCAGAGGAAGGGCGTCCTTTCTGTCGCTCTGCCCCTTGACTATTTTCATAATAAACCTGTAACCATAAGTGAGACTGAGGAGTAAGACAAGAATCAACTTGGAAAAGCTAAACATTATGAAACAACCTTTATATGGAATATTTATATTTCTACATCTAGATGTAGCATCTGGCTCACCTGCAGATGTACTTCAGAAAATGATCTCTGAATACCTACATTCAGTTTTTATTTATTAGTGTTTCTTTAAAAAAAACTACTTGTAAATAAAAGTTTATTATGGCTTTCCTAGGGCAACTTATAAACTCATAAATTTCCCATAAAATAAAGGCTATATCCATACATCATAAAATTATACTTCACTTTATGAGAACCATGAACACTAAGATTTTATGGTTTTATACTTAATGGAAAGAAAATATTTACTGTAGAAGTTTACTGTACAAGGACCTTCTCCTGGAGCAATAAAATTTCTATTTAAGACTACAATATTTTCAAAACATACATATTCCATAAAAAGTTATAAGACGTCATGCAAAAAGTCACTTCCTAATTTAATTTTCTTTAGGCTTACATATCTAAGTTCCAATTTGGTACTTTATTAAATGTTAATCCACCAGAACTCAGGGAGACAGCAGGACTGAATTAATAGTCTAGGGAAACAAAGGTGACATTTCATAAGCAGGGTCACCTGACACCATCTGGTCACCTAGAAACCAACCTTAACTGGGGAGGGAGTTAGAATTCTTTAAATGCAGTATTTCTAATACACTTCCCAATGTACGAATATACCGTCCCCTGGACTTGGAAGGTATCTAAGTATCAACCACTAAGAGAACAGAGTCCTGCAGAATCCTGATGACAATGACCTAGTGGCTAAATACCTCCCCTCTCTAAAAACAATCTGAGGCCTCTTGCCATCGTGTCCCTTTTCAGGGGACAAGACACCAGGGATAATTCCAGCTTCCCAAACATTCTCACCCTTGACTGCATCCCTTTATCTCCTCTGGAGAGAGTGTACAGTGGCACTTCTTGGATTAGCATATGAAGCTGTGAATTTTCTCCCAATTGTGTGCTCTATGGGCGGGAAGCACACTACAGGAGAAGAGCTCGAAGAAATGTCACCATAAAACCAACAGCAGGCCACGGCATTTCTCCTCCACACTGACAGCAAGTCAGAAGTAATTTTCTACCTAAACCAGAGCTTAATTCATTAGCCACGTTACTGCACAAGTTCAATCCAATTTCGCAAAATGCAGTAACACAATCTTCCTACCTAATTATCTTCATTGAAAGTCCAAGTGTTTAGAAGCATTTGCTGAGACCCATTTCTTTCTGTGTCAGAGGAGATCGACATCAAGTGACAGTTTGAGTAGACTAAATTCTGTCCAACTGTACAGGGCTGACATTTCAGGAAATACTACTTTTGCAGGGGAGAGATTCTCCCCCTAGAGTGGCCCCAAAAGATAATTCCTGGTAAGTAAAGGGATAAATGTGTAGCTATTACAAGTGTGCTTGAAAACCTGATTCTCAAAAACAGTCTATACACATACTCCTATGGAATTAAAACTGTTACAAACTGGATGACTTCTACCGAATTAAAAATGTTAAAGGAGATGATTTCTACAATAATTTTAATCAATTGAGAGAAGTTTTTGCCTCAGAATTTAAAAGGGGGGGGGGCAGGTAATTCATAATGGAAATACCATCCCATATCACTACCATTAGGGAAAATGGTGATTTCCCTAGAAATAATGAGGAAACAGTAATATAATTCTTTAATAGCTCACTCACCAAAACCCTCCAAGTTTTGATTCAAAAACTCTTCATCCCCATTTCCTTTTGATAAACAGAAGAATCAACTCATACTTTCAAAGAACCATTTTTAAGACCATTTATTAGTGGAAAATACCTTCTGAAGACATTTTTGGGGATGAATTTGAAAATAAAAATTATTAAAGGGCAAGAGGGCTTATTCCTCAGCTCAGTCTCAACTCAATTTGTAAAATTCATCATAGTCGTTAGGGCTTTGCTGTGTGAAGGAGCCAGGTTTCTCCTAATACTATTCACCCAATTCATTGAATTCATGCCCTACGCCAGTAACCAATCTACTTTTCCAGCTGCAGTAGTTTAATAGCGTAAAGTTCTGAAGTAAATGGGATCCTTTGAAAGCCAGTTCTGGCTGAGCTTAAAGTAACAGAAACCAAACATTTGAAAAGCTTCACAAACCAGAATTCAGGTGTCAGAGAAACACTGTGGCAAACAATGAAGAGAAATATACAGTTCCGGCAATGTGACTACAGAAATGTTTTAAAAGATGGCAAGTCAATTAACAGGCACATTATTTCATTTGAAATCCATTATGAGGCACGTACGAGCACGGACAGAAAGCAATGTTCTTCAGCATTTATGAACCAAAACCGCACAGAAGCCATGCTCTGACTCAATGCACTGACCTTATAAACTTGCCCATATGTCCCGTTTCCAACAAGTTCCACCAATTCAAAGATCCCTGCTGGGTCCTGCAAGAAAACAAACAATGAAAATTCAAAACAACAGTCCAGGCATTGTCTTACTCCAAAGCAAATACGTATTTCAAATAAGCAAATATAAGGCTTTACCTTTCAGGACTCTCAGGTGTTAATGCTAAATACAACCAACACTTCAAAACGTAATTCACCTGCAGCTAGGAAAGCCCATCTTGTTTCCATTTTTACATCTCCGTAAAATGTGCTTATATCAGAAACATAGGTTTCAACTGAAACAATGTAAAAGAACTGACACATTTCTCCAAAGGGAACAGGCTTGCAGGTACATCAAGGTAAAAAGAAGCACTGCTCATCCTGAGGAAATTCTCATCTTTGTAGGGTACTTCGAAGTTTCTGCGCTGCCGAGTTAAACCTGGCGGTCAAGGGTGTTCCTGCATTGCAGGGCAATCTCACCTCTCAAAGTCAACAGTTTCCAAGAGAAAATGGAATCCCCTAGCTACCTCTCTCTGAATATGTTCTTCAGAGTCACCTCTACTCTGTAATGCTGCGGCTGCAAGATACACCTCTGCAATACCTACAGGATCATTGCAGGACTTAGAATAAAAACTAAATTAGAGAATTATGCGCGTTCTTACCACCAAACAGGTGTCTACTAAACCTTCCAGTCAGTGAAATGTTACAGTGCTCAAAAAATGTCCAGTGGTTACTGCTATCACTACTTACTACTCCAAAAAGTTGAAGAAAAAAATATATCAAAGCCCATAAAACTCAAACAGAAACAGAAATCAACTCCTATCCCTTCAGATTCCTAACCAGACTAGAGCCAATTTCTTCATAGCAGAGAGCAAGGGTCACAAACTTAAAAACCTGCAGAGGCCAGTCAAGTCCAGTGGCCCAGCTGGAGCCTAGGGCAAACCACGGGCTCAGGTGTGTGTGTTTGGGAGGGTGGGGCCAGGCAGTTATCCGGCTGGGGCCAATTATATCCCAGCAACACACAAGCACAATACTGCCAGGCCAAAGGACTGTTCGAGAAAACGGAACATTTTATTTCATGTGAGATCTCTACAAGTTCAACTGTTGGATACTTGATTTAAAAAAAAATCATCTGAGTGACAAATAAGCAAAGACTGTGTCTTTTGCCCGGAAATGTGGTCGCATTTATATGAAAACACTGACAAATACTGGGTGCTCAGAGGCCAAAGGGACTAAGCCTTGACTTTAGATTGAGACAGAACTGCTTTAAATACCAGCTTTGCCTTGACTGGCTGGGTGATCCTGGGAGAGCAACACTGAGACTACAAGACAGGAATGAGCTTCTAACCTTGCAGGGCTCTTGTGAGGAACTTGCACAAGGCCTCACACATAGGGTGTAATGTATTTACACCTGATAGTAATCCCTTTTAAACTGAGGAATTCCACACCACGAAGAGGCATTGAAATGAGGGGAGGGGAGACCTAACTCCAAGAGAAGCAGCTACTCAGCCACGCAAGGGGACATGGCAAGTTAGTATTCCTTAAAGCTACAGTCCTTAGTAAATGAGACCTCCCCCCCCCCCAAAAAAAGCCCTTGGCTATGTGACTTTGACGATTCCACAAAGAAAAGCAGCAAAATGAAAACAAAAACAACTCCAGATTAAACACTCAGTCACTGCAAAGACTAGAGTTACCATTATCTACTCATACAGAGCCAGAGAGCAAAAAAAAAATCGCATTTCAGGCCCGTGTCCTAAAAACAAATCAAGAAGTCTACAAGTTCTAGCTGTTCCCCACCTGGTCCAGGCAGAGACGGAGGATATTCCAGAGAGAGCATGAGACAGGCAGCAAGATTAAGGGGCTAGAGCTCTAAGCTGACCTATACCCATGGCTACATGACAATGTCAAGGCCACCTTGGAGGCCTCAGGATGGGAAAGAAAAATTGTGTTTGTTAAACTCCTAGGCCATTAGAACAGCAGGTTGTATTATAAACAGAATGAGAAAGAAATCCGAAGTGGGAGGAGGGAAGCCCATAAATGGTGGCAGCTGCTGTTTGTCTCGAAGCTGTGATTCCCAAGTAGTTCGTTTGCTCAGTGGTGTTTCTGCAACATGTTTGGAGAAAGGTTCTACATTTGCTTGAAATACCTCAATTGTATTTTCAACATTCGTTTCCCTTGACTGGAAAGAATAAGAACATGGCGACTGTTGGCTGCCTTAGGAGCCTGGGTGTCCATCAGGGTGTAAGGGAAGGCAGAAGCAGGAGCAGGAATGGGGTGGGGTGGGGATCACCTTCCGCCGACTGTTGGCTGCCTTAGGAGCCTGGCTGTCCGTCAGGGTGTAAGGGAAGGCAGGAGCAGGATCACCTTCTGCCCCTTGGGGTCTCCCACTTCGGGTCTCAGAAGGGTTATTTCTAAGGCTTTCTCTCCTTCTATCATTTATGGCCCAGCCAGTCACAGACAAGGAGGCTCACTATAAAGACTTCAGTCCCAGCTACTGGGAGAGACTTTTTGCTGGGGCTCACAAGAAAACAAACTGAAAAGTTCCACAGGCAACTGGCCTTGGGCAGACAAAGCACTGGAAACAATCATTGTGTCAGGCTGGTTCCCTGGGGAACAGACTCAGGCACTCACAGACTTATACAGGGTGAATTTATGAAGGCCTGCCCGGGAATCAAGGCCAGGGGAGTGAAGGAGTAGGCAGAGGGAAGAGCTGAAAGAACGCAGTGGGAACAAAAACTTCACCCAACCCCATGGGAGCTCGGGAGCTGGGGTGACCTTTCAAAATGATCACACCTTGAAGGAGGGGACCGCTGCACCCCGCCTCCATCGGTGAGTCATTGCACGGGGCTTCCCATATCCCCATCCTAGAGGTCACGATCTCAGCTGAGGACAATACCCAGTAAGAGCTGCTATCATTACGCTCACAGCCAGGGGACACCGGGTGTCTCAGAGTGGAGAGAAACTCACCAGAGCATCCACCACGAGCATGGTTAGAAATAAGGAAAGAAGGCCTTAAGCACCCACATTCTAGAACATACTGACAGTAGTAAGACAGAACAGCATTAGCATTAGGGCGTTTTCAAGGAGGGGCTCTCTGAGGCCCTGAAAGCGCAAGACAGTATGGACCCTAAGCTCTGTTTTCTCTTTCCTCCAACCCAAGTTCCTAGATCCAAGTACCTGGAGAGCTAGATGTGTTTGGTGATCCCATTAGACCAGTGCCAATCATTGCTAATTACGCTCTCAGAACATTGATAGAGCGTGGACAGAACAAGCATTCGGCTACCGTCTCCACGCTGACAGGCCCTCTAAAGTAATCCCCACCCCCCCAGGGCTGTGCATGACCTCAATTTCTTGAGTGTAGGAGTCTCTTTTTAGTCCTTAATTGTCCCCTTTGAAGGATGTTACACTGCTGGGCACCACTCTTGTTGGCAATATACCCCCTCCGCCATCATCCACCATCCCTCCTAGCCTCTCTCACAGATTCCATTTCTTCTGCCCAGGCCATCATGCTAGGCTTCCCCCAAGGTTCCATCCTTGGCCACCACCCCCATTTTGTTCCCTAAGTACTAATGACCTTGTCTCCCCAAATGGCCATAATAGCCAGGGCTAGGCCAGGCCTGAACCAGGAGCCAGGAGCCTCTTCTGGGTTTCCCAGGTGGGTGCAGGAGCCCAAGGACTTTGGCCATCCTCTGCTGCTTTTCCAGGCATATTAGCAGGGTGCTGGATCAGAAGCAGAGCAGCTGAGACTTGAACAGGCGGCACCCATATCAGATGTCAGCACTGCACACGGTAGCTTTATTCAGTGCACCAAAGCACCGGCCCCAACAGGCAGTTTTAATCATGATACCCTGTGACTTCAAATCTTGTAAGATGTGGTTGAAATTTAAAGTCAAGGTCCTGTCACCTTTAGGCCCACCTTTCATTGCCAGGCTTGTCTTCCATCTTTCTGTTGTTACCAACCACATCAAACCGCTTTCCTCTCCTGGATACATCACACTCGGATACACCACACTCAGATCAGGGTGCTTATGTGCCAAGGTCATTCCTTCTGTCACTCTTTCTCAGCAAGCTCATCCTTGAGAACCCGGAGTGCAACCTTCTCCGTGAAATCTCTCTCCCTGTACCCACAGCATGCTGTGCCTGGTTCTAGGATGACAGCTTTTGCATAGTGCTAGAACCCCTCGTACATTTCTCTCCCTTGATGAATTACAGACGCCCGGAGAGCAGGGAATGTGACACATTTATCTTGGTATTTCCCAGCACTTAGCAGGGCAGCCAACATGTAACTGCTAGCCGTACTATTTACTGAATCAGGCTGATGCCATTCTATTCCCAATTCTCCACATGCATAGAGGAGGTTGAAAAAAATTGGTATCACAATACAGAGCCAAAGGTCTAGCAAACTGGCATCGTTTCTTTTCGATCTAGACAAGTTGTTTCAGTCACTGTCCCCTCCTTCCCCTTTCCCCAAGCCCAGATACACAAAGCTGTCACACGCCTAAACCCCTACAGTATTCCCAGCTGCAAAACTATCCATAAAGCCCATTGCTGTAAGCTTCGCCCCTTGTGCATGGAGCAGTCAGGCTGTCAGGACATGGCTACACACTGCGCAACACAGACAGGACGCTGTACCTAATAATCATGTCACAAAGACAGGAAAGCTAAGAGACAGAATCAGCTTAATTCTTCCTCTCGTGTTTGCTTAGCTGCTCTTAAAGCCAGGACGGACAGCCTGGAAGGAGGTTACATACACCAAGGAGAAAAGAGCAAATCATTGACATTTACCAAAGTCAAGAATCCCTGTTGGCTATACACACCTTTATTCAGATCTTAACCTTTGCTGGGAGGCTGAGAAGAGAATTAAATTCTAAGGTACAGTAGTTTACATTATTTTGTAATGAAATATAATAACTACATATCAAAAGGCAGGCTGTTCCCAGAAAGAAAATGTTACTTTACAGCTACTGCTGGTAAAAGCAAATTTGATTAGTTATGATAGCAAAAATCGCAATGGCAGCCTATACAGCACAAGCACTCCCGTGCCATGGGTGATTCTAAGT